TTGTATAGAAGGCATTCTACATGTGGACTGCAGCAGGAGAGAATGGGGGAAATTTATATGATTTTCAGAGATTTAGCATTGGTTTCTTAAATACCATAGTACCAAATAAAACAAGTGGATACCATGCATGCCAGGTTTTCATTTCTTAAGAATCAGTCATAAAAAATATTCAGAAATGATTTCATATCAAAATTGACATTGAGGAATAAGTTTGTTTTACATTTAGCTTCTGTAAGTGTTTAATATAATAGCTTCCCCCTGATTTTCTTTTTAAAACAAACAAATAATCTGTTTAATTTCTAGGAGCTGCTGTGGGAATATCACCTAGTTGTCTTGGTTTATTGCTGCCTGCCATTGGTATCCTTGCCTCTTTGGGATTCTGAATGAATGTAGCTGGATTTAACATGTCCACAATTTAGTGCAAAGAACCTTCCAACATGAGAGGATTTCAGTTCCTTTTTGATTCCTGTGGCACCATCCTAAGCCAAATAAATTACACTTTCAAGCAAATTATCCTCCTGTGGACTTCAAAGACTGAGGCATCCAGGAACTCCTTCATCAAGCAAATCAACTTTTGAAAGTTTGAGAAATGATTTTTAACTTGTTCCAATTATGCCTTATAAAACACTTGTGCTGATCTGCGACAGTTGCATGATTCAGTCCAATCGGGCAAGTTACAGTGTTAAAACCCAATAACATAGGCTGTACAGTAAAAGTAAAATCACCACACATAGGTGCTTTAACTTTAATAACAAATTGTGAAAACATAATAGAGATTGAAATGTTGATTGTATGTGGTATATGTAGGAGTAACTACGTCTGTCCGTACTATCCTATATGTTTTATGTACTGCATATTTTCGAATGGCCCATGTCATTTATGACATTCCAGGTGTTTAGAGATACAGTCAAAGCAAATACATTGCTATTATTATTATTATTATTATTATTATTATTATTATTATGCAGCTTTTCTTCTTGAAGTGATTAAATTGTGGGTTGAGAACACTGGAATCTAAGTTCATTAACAATGGTTCTTATTTCAGATAGATTTGGAGGTGTTATACCAATATTAACAGTAAAGAATTTCCCAGCACTTTAATTTTAATGTGATAGAGTAATTCAAGATGTAGTTTTACAAATAAATCTAGTCAAGCCAAGTGTGATTTTTCTCAGTCACAGAGACATTTGTTTTGCTGTAAAGGATATTAAAAGCTATATAAGCAAATTTATTTCAGATATTTCAGTGTATCCAACTATTATTGCCACATTTCAGTAATTCTACTTCAGTCATAAAGTACAAGATTTAAATCTCAAGATTATAAACAGCCTCAGTCTTTAAATAGCCAATATAATGGCACTATGAAATTTGGAAAATGATTCCATGTTAGGATCAATATTAAAATGGATAGACTATTTAAAGTAGCACTTTAGTGTGAATCATCTATAGTAACAACAAATAGGATATGCAGTAAAAAATAAAGAAAAGAAAAGAAAAGAAAAAAGTGTAGCACATAGCAAAACTTATCCTGAGAGTTATTTTTTTGTGACACATATATTGCCTTACTTTAGCGAAGGCCAACCATTAGGAGAATGATTTGCATTTTCCAATAAATTAATATTGTTCTACTTCCTAGAGCTGTAAATAAGAGTTTTAAAGTTCTAATATGATTTTCCCTGTTTAATAATCCCAAAAGATAGAAAAGATGTTGTTAAAATTCAGAACTATCTCAACCGTTCTGCCTGTTTTTTAAGTTTTAATTATGTTGTCAAAACTGGAATCCTCATAGGAGATACAGAATGTCTTTGTTCTGACTGTTTCTATGCTGTATTTAAAGTTATTAAAAAAGAAATTCCAATTTCTTTCAGAGTCCATGGTGTGCTGGGAATATGGTGTGAATGTGGGGGAGGGGGGATGTACCACTCAAGTGATATTGAATCAGCTGGCTCAAGTAATAGTGCAATGTCTGATGCTTCAAGAATTATAAGCTTTGAATCATATTTTATTAGCACAGCCTTGCTAGCTGCTTTAGAGATAGAACTGAACTTTATAGGACTGATACTGTAGCTGCCCATGATACTACTGTCTTTGTGAAGAAAGAACAGACCTGTCAATACTTTACACCCTTTCTTTAATTTGTATAATTTTTGTACTGTAAATTTACATTTTAAAAGTCTAGATTTGTCATGAAAATATCAATAATACTGTTTTATTTTAATTTTGACTCTTTGTTACAAGTTGAAACTTTTTTAAAAAGTAGGTGAAAATTATAATTTCCATGTAGAAGAATGTCCAAAGCTATACAAGCACTACTGAGTTTCATAACTTATGTACTTATTTGAAAGAAACAAAGATGTCTTCATGCAAGAGGAACTAATACTTTGGAATCCATCTGTGGTATGTTTTAATTTGGTTCAGTTTTTAGCTAGCATAATTCATTTTTATATAACCTGCAATACAACTAAATTTTTTTGCCAAAATGCATGATTGCCTTTAATTTTCTAAGGAACAAAACCAGATAGTTTTTGCATGAAGACAATTTGGAAGGTCAAAGTACACTTATTTGATTTAATCTGCAACACAGTTTTCACCAGTCATATTAATTAGCTAATCCCCAATTTACATTGTTGCACAAAACTGCTCAAATTTTTCTGGGACATTCAGTCCCCAACAATTGTCAGCACAACTAATTATTCACTGTATCATCTGCTTTACAATGCAAGGTTCTTAATTAAAGTTTATATAGATAGACAAATTGGTTGTTTCTTTGTATTCCAGGTAATATTGAACTTAGTATTATTTGATACTGGTGACTTTTGAATTTTTAAGTTACTTTTTATTATTATTTTTCTTATTGAGTAGACCAGGAACATGCTTTGTCCATTTTATGGTTGAAAAATAAATTATAATTAAATAAATGTATTAATGGTACTTCACATGTAACAATTGTCACTTGACTTTTCCAGGGGGTTCAGTAGATTTTTTGCAGGATGAGAGAGACAGAAATGGAAAGAACTGCATTCATAGAGACAAATTGTCCCTCAGAAATTTTCATAATCTTGGAATTTATGGATTAATTATTTTTTCCCTTTAATAATGCAGGTTCCCCATTGAAACTGTCAATGAAAACATGACAATATTTTTTCTTCCTTTTTTTAAAAAAAAATACAAATTGATTCCTGTTGTAGTCAGTGTAAATATTTATGTTGTCTTTCAGTTGAAAGCTGTGAAATATAAAATCCTAGTTAATGTAGCTATACTACATAGATGAAGAGAGAGAGAGAAATACGGTGATGCAAAATTATACAATAATTTGCAAGGTAACCAAATGTATATTTTAAAAATCCAAATTATAATTCCAATTTGGTTGTTATGGGTTTCAACTCAAGTTGTGTTCCAATACTGATTTTCATGACCATATTTGACAGCCCTTGTTATTCTTCTGAATGGATAACAGATGAAACAAACTCATAAACAAATTTAATTGGTGAATATTGTCATGATTTCATGTTGGCATCTTGATCCCTGTTTGGGTGATATGCATCTGATCAAGGAGGATGAGGCTTTGTAAGCCCTCAGTTAGGTCACCAAATAGCTTCATGTTGTGTATTTCTGTTGTGTTCCTATTCTATACATGAACCCTGATGTCTGGAATCACTAATGTGTCTAATAATGAAAGAATACACCATAGTAATTCAGATGGGAGAAATTGCACAGAATCAGAGGTGCAAACATGTCCGGCAACCAGCTTTAAACAATTGTATATGTGGCACAGAGGAAAAAATATTTTTGGTTTTTTTCTGTGATGTGATGTGATTGTGTCTTGAGCAGACCATGTGAAATGTCTTTCTGAGGTGAAGAATCTTAGAATCCAGAGATCTGTGCCCTTTGAATCTCTCCTCTCAGATTTTATGTTTTTATACTAGTTCTCACTTCAAGATTCTTCATTGGCTCTGGAAAATCAGTCTGTTAGCAAGAATGAACAGGAAACAAATTTTGTTTCAGGTATGATGGGAGGATATGAAAGTAGAAATTTTTGTTAGCATCTCTGACCATTGTCTGGTGCAGATTTTCAACTATTTACAGGTGTGTGAGAGAGGAACATAGAAGAATGTTTCTATAATTGCATTAAACCATGGTGGGGGAACTATTGTCCTTTACAATAGTTGGGAAAGCTGGCAAGAATTGGTGAGAATTCGAGTCTTTACACCATGTTGAAGGTCACAGATTCTGCAGTCCTGTCTTAAAGGATTTGTCTGATGTGACAAAACTGTTGTAGCAGCAGAATGTGATAAACATGAACTTTGGAATGGAAGATGCTCCCCTGTATGCATTTCTAAGGCAAAACCTCCATATGCACACACACCAGTACAGTTCTGTGACACTATTAGGTTTGAAGAATTTGGAATAGTATACCAAAAAAATGAGAGAGTAAATGAAAAAAGAGAGGTTCCCCGCCCATATAGCTTAATCAGGTAGATTTAAAAAAAAAAAATTAAATATTTGTGGATGGGTTTTTCTATTGCTGTTGTCCTAAGGGAAAAATTGCAATTGGCAAGGGTTAACAAGAGTAATGTAGGCAAGTGTACTACAACAGTCTCACCACATAGTGCAACAGGAAACAGGACTGCAGTCTTGCTATTTCACAGGAATCATTTACATTCATCTTGGTTTTAGAAATTTGTTGCTCTTGTCTTTTCTTTTTTCACATTTCCCCTTAAAGATGTACTCATGAAGTTATGGACATGTATATATAAGCCAGCCCTCACCTAACAGTTTGTCTGGGATGTTGAAGAAAAGACATTGGAGATGGTAGAATAGAATCCTTGAAGTTAGTCCTAAAGCTTCCAAGGGGGTTCAGCTTGTTGTTCACAGACAGAACCACTGAAACACGACTGTGCAGACAACCATTCCAAGAATGGATGCAGGTACACAACTATGAATTCTAGTAGCTATGAAGTCCATTGCTAATATTGAGGTGAATGTTTGTACAAACTGGAGCCAGTGTGGTGTAGTGGTTTGAGTGCTTGACTAGGACTCTAGGAGACCAGGGTTCAAATCCCCACTCAGTCATGGAAACCTTGGGCAAGTCACACTCTGCTAGCCTCAAAGGGAGGCAATGGAAAACTGCCTCTAAACAAATCTTGCCAAGCAAAGCCCATGATAGATTTGTATTGCTTTGTGCCTTCAAGTCATTTCTAACATATGGCAACCCTAAGGCATCCACCTATCATGGGGTTTTCTTGGCAAGTTCCTTCAAAGGGGGTTTGCCATTGCCATTCTCTGAGACTGAGAGAGTGTGACTTGCCCAAGGTTACCCAATGGGTTTCCATGGTCATGCCAGGATTTGAACCCTGGTCTCCCAGTGTTCTAGTCCAACGCTCAAATCACTTCCCCATGCTGACTCTAGATTTGCATAAGGGTCTCCATAAGTCAGAAACAAAAATAGCATTTGTACAAATTGCAGTTGGTTCTTGATATCTGTTACTGCTTGGTACCAGGACCAACTGTGGATACCAAATTTTATGGATGTTCGGGTCCCATTATTTTAGAATGACACAGTAAAATGGTGTCCCTTATATAAAATAGTAAAATTGGAGTGGGTGGGCGGTATCCAAGCTATGGATGGTTGAATCTATAGGATACAAAATCCGTGGCTACAGAGGGCCAACTGTACATAATTGCATAAGGCTAGCTGGCTTCCTTCCTTCCTCTTTCTTTACAGCTTTTCAGGTAAAAATGTTTCCCAAATTAGAATATGATGGTTAATATTAAGACAGTTCCTACTGTTGAAAAGACATGACACAAAGGAAAAGGGGTTGGGAGAGAGGAGGAAATGATCTGAAGCCCTACAGCTTAGTGTCCACATCCACATTGGTGTTCTGTAGGAAAGGGTTCTCAGCTGCTGCTTCTCTGCATAAATGTGTGGATCCAGATAGCCATGATGGGCTTCCTGGAAAGCACAGTTGCAGTCTCTCAGTGTCTTTCATATAGGATGGGCTTAAATTGTCCCTTCAACTTAAAAAAAACAACCCTTACATATATGACCCAAAGTTGTTGTAAGTTATGCAATAAGTTGCTCAGTTTAAACTGGCAAAAGCTAGTTCTGTGAAGGCCAAGATTCTGCCATTTCTATCTTCAAAATCAAAGCTAATTCATTTTAAGCTACCATTGGAACAGCTCCAGTGATGCTGAAAGAATGTGTGTGCAGAAAATGGATCCATTGTATAACCCTCTGAATGTCTGCATCATTGTATAACCCTCTGAATGTCTGCATAATTGGAAAGATATCCAAGTAAATGTATCAGAAGCTGAATGTCAGGAAAAGTAGGTTATGCATTTTTCCATGTGTTGTTTTTTAATTAACTCTTGCAAAAATATGCACCTGGCTACAACAAGCAACAGGAAGTTTACTACAGTCTTATATACTCAGATATCAAAAGGGACAACCACCATGAAATGCTCCGCTCCAAAATTTGTTGCTCTGCCATGTGCTGTTCCGCTTATGCCTTTTCTCTTTGATGGGCATAGAAAGGAATAGAGAGAGAAGTCTGCCAAGCACTAGAAGCTCTCCAGGGTGATCTTGCCTAGGCTGGAAACAGAGAAGGAGGCAATGATAAACCAAGGTGTCTTCTTGACCTGATGATTCAAGTGGACATTACACAACGGTTGCAGAACAGCCAACATAGGCTGACAAAAAGGACCAACATCTCAAAAGATTAATTGCTTCAATTATGAGGACACCAGAGGGTTTGTGTGCACATGGATGACAGCAGACCATCTTTGGTACTCAGAACAGCACACAGCAGCTAAGCATGACATGCAAGAGAAATCTACCAGGATGACAAATCCCTTTCTTTCCATATCTGATCTTTTTAGGGATTGTATAGAATCCACAGGAGTTGGAAGACAAAAGTGAGGGTGACTCACACACATACATGCCTATATACAGAGGAGGATGGGGCCAGAAAACTCCCAAGTACTCTCAAATTGAGTTGATTATTACCATTTCAATTTAGTATCAGACCCATTTGGGACCTACAAACTGCTTCAGTTGCTTAAATTTAAATGATCAAAAAGATGAAACACATGCAGTCCTTTAGTTCTCCTGAAGTTCTCAACAGCTTTCAGTGCAATCAGCCATTATTTCCTTTTGGATTTGGTTCCTTTTCCTTAAAAACCAAATTAAATTTATGTAACAAGGGAAAGAATTGACTTGCATGTTCTTTGTGCAGAAAAAAGAAGCTTAGCCATTAGTTCTGTAATGGACTAGTTTGTATCCTGTAGGAAATGTTTTAAGTGCCAGTTCAAGGTCCTGCTAGGAAAGTTACTCAATACAGGACCAAGGAGTTTGGTATGCTCATCCCTATAAAAGTAACATGTAATGAAAACATGCTCAATAGATCCAATTTCTTTTTCATTACAGGGACATAGTCTATTCTTGTATGCCACACCATGATAGTGTCCATCTAAAACTGCAGATGGTAGGCAATTAAATCTGGCTCTCAAAAAACAAAACAAAAAAAACCTGTTGATATTTTGGAATAGTTAAATTTTCCAAATACCTAGCACTATGGGGGAATTTGAAATTCAAGCTAAAATGGAGAGGTGAGCAGATTTTACTGGCATTTGATAAGGAATATTGAAGATCTATGTTCTTAATCTGATTTTCTAAAATAAAATGTAATGCCTTGAGCTCATGGGCATAAAGAAACTCCACAGAAAGACCTAATAAATGCAGTTTAGTAGAAAAGTTTTTCTACTAAAACATCTTTCTGTAGAAGGTGTACATAACCTGCAGAAGTATTTGAATATACGGGTCCAATATCTGAAAGCATATAGCCAGGTCGTGCCTTCTAATGCAATGCCTACCTCAAATCTTAGGGCTGCTGCGGAAGCACATCTTGGCAACCCATGAATAGATCTTAAAAAGTTTTAGAGAATATTCTCAATATTTGAATGGAATCCTTGAATCCAAATTGAGATTCCATACAGCAGTTGAGGCAAGGTCTTGGACTTAAAAACCTGGATGGCAGCAGGTATGAACTGACCCCCCCCCCTTAGTGAAGAAAAAGGGAGAAATGGCCTTGATAGTATTCTGAGCTGTCTGTATAACAGACCGTCTATTGGCAGCCCAGAGAAGATTGTGGTGGAATGTAATTCCCAGATATTTAAACTATTTAACTTGGTTGATACACTGACCATTGATTTTCCACTTGTTTAATGGTGCATGCCCAGCAAAGACCACGATTTTAGTTTTGCTAAAAGTTATAATCAACTGGTTGGTCTTGCAATAAGACATAAATGCATATATTAGGCATTTAAGGCCTACCTTTGATAGTCACATTAGGACAGCATCATTTGCATATAGCAATAAAGAGTATTTAGTTTTAGGCAGTTTAAGTGGATGGAAATCTAAAGCTATACAACACTGATTCAGGTCATTTACATATAAGTTGAATAGTGAAGGGGCTAATATACAGCCCAGTTGCACCCTCCTGGTGGCAGGTATTGTCAAATTCCCTTCTATTCCATATCTTACATATAGTGTGATACCCTGATAGAGGCATTTGATACAGGAGTCTTTTATCTATTGTGGTATGGAGTAACTTCAGTCATAATTTATCCCTTGGTATTGAGTCAAAGGCAGATTTTAAATCTGTAAAGTCCCTTCCCAAAAGTGGTCTTGTATTTTTCTGCTAAATTGTTTAAGACAGTACAGTGATCTGCCCTTTCTGAAACCTGCCAGTTCATTTCCCAAAATATTTTCATCCTCTATCCAGGAGGCTAGTCTTTGATTTAAATAACTAGCATACAGTTTGCCCACAACCAAAAATAAACCAATGGGCCTACTGTTTGATGGCTCCTCTCTATTTCTTTTCTTAAAAATTGGTATGGCAATGGCTTCCAGCCAGGCAAGAGGGAAATTACCTGAGTTGTTAACATGGGAAAACAGATTTGCTAAAAGGAGGCCCCACCAATCTATGTTTGCCTTTAACATTTCCAGGAGGATGGAATCCATCCCCAGCACCTTACCTGATTTAAACTTATCAGGGACTATATTTCAGTCAGTGAAACTGGATCCCATAGAGGGATATCATTTAAGTCTATGGTAGAAGAACAAACCACTTCACACTCTGTGACATTCACAGGGAGAAGGGGAAAGGCATTAATTAGGAAGCATTGTGTTGCTAAGTTTGTCAATTTGACTCAATGATTTGGTTTAGCTCCCCAGTCTCTTCCAGAAAGATACATCTTGCTCCTTTCAAGGGGTTAATAAATTTAACCTTATCAGGTACAATTTGAAATTTTGGCAATAGAGCAGATTGACCCAGTTCATCAGTGTGCAAATATGTCATTTGCAGCCATTTCGCACTGGTCATTTGGGCCCCTGACGATACACAAAAGTTATATTCTTTAGGGGGCAAATGACACACTCCAAAGATATCAATTTTACATAACCAGCCAGCTTTCTCTCTTTTCCATGATCTTGTCCAACTGCAAGTTGACCCTATGTCTCAGTCCTGAGGTCTAATGTTCCACTCTATAGACCTAGAGTGGATAAGAACATCTTGTAGGGCTGAAAGTCTATCAATTATTTCCTCTTGTGATTGTGGAGACAGGGCTAGGAAGGAGTTTAGAAGATTAACTTCATCTGGATTTAAGCCATTTCTTAAGTCTTTTACACTTGGATTATGTTCTTTCTTTGGGCTCTGACTCAGCTTGTTATGATGAACATTGATTTGAGCATCCTCCTGGATGATAGCTGGATCAACTCCATTGGGTCATTTGTTATGACCAGATTGTTTATGAAATAAGGCAATAAGAGCATAATTTTCAAAAAAACTGGCCACTGACAAGCCCACATGAAAGAATCTATTTCTATCCTTATATAATATCTTGTCACCACAGTACGGAGACTATGATAATTATAAAACAAATATTCTGTATTAAGAAATCATCAGTATTAAGGGACTGTGTAGCTATTTTGTTTAATAAAAAATGGGCTTTGCACTGAGGGAGAAAAAGCAGGCCTTTAGGTTTTGGGAAGTTGAGAAAAACAAACTTCTGAC